ATTTATTTTAAAGAATTTAATAATAAAATTAATAAAATATAATAAATATAATTTTATAAATTTTAATTTTTTTAAAAAAAGATTAAAAGTTATTAAATAATTAACGCGTATTTATTAAAATATAAATATTATAAAATTAATAATATAACAAAAGTTATATAATATAAATTATAATTTTAATAGATTATAACGAATTTATACTTTTTAAAATAAATTATAAAAGAATATAAATACGTAAATTTATATTAATAAAGTATATTAATTTTAAAAACGGTTATAATCGATAATTAATATAAATAAATAAGATATAATAAAGGGTTTATAAACGAGATTATAAATATAATCGTTAAAGTTTAATAAACTTTATTTATAAATAAAATAAATGTTTAAATTAATTATTAAAATAATAATTATTTATATAATTAAAAAATCCCTTTTATTATATATTTATTTATTTTTTTATTAATATTAATTGAATTATTATAATTATAATAATTCTTTATTTTAAATTATTTAACTCATTTTAATTACGGGGTCCTTTTTTTTAACGGTTACGTATTAATTATTTAATAAGTTTTAATTCTTCCTTTTTAAGGTTAAGATTCGTAAAGTTATATTCGTAATATAAATAAAATAAAATAAAAAGTTATTAAAATTAAAATAATTTTAATAATTTAAAAGAATTATTATAATTATAATAATTTAATTTATATTAATAAAAAAGATTTTTTTAATTATATAAATAATTTTTATTTTAATAATTCATTTAAATATTTCTTTTATATATAAATAAAATATATTAAATTTTAATAATTATATTTATAATTTTGTTTATAAACTTTTATTATATTTTATTTAATTATATTAATTATTAATTATAATCATTTAAAATTAACGTTTTATATTAATAAAAACTTTTGTATTTATATCTTTTTACGGTTTATTTTATAAATTATATTTATTATATTAAACTTTAATTATTATATTTTATTTAATTATACCGGTTATTAATTATAACCATTCGAAATGAACGTTTTTTATTAATATAAATTTATATATTTATATTTTTTTATTATTTATTTTAAAAAATGTATTCGTTATAATTTTTTTATATATAATAAAATAAATTATACGTAATATTTACGGATAAAAATTTAAAATATCGTGTTTTTTATTAAATTTTTATATTATAATTATTATATATAACTCTTTTAAAAAACGGCGGTATAAATAAAAAAGGAAATAATAATATTTAATAATATATATAATTATTATAAATATATTTCAAATTGTTATATATATTAAACGTTATCGAAATATAATTTTAATGAAATTTTTTTTAAATCTTTACTCGAAGTCTACACCGTTTCGTAAAGTCCCGATTTTTGTTATATTAACCTCCATTTTATCTCCTGGCTGTAGAAACTGGGGCGGGTCCATGCCAAGGCCAATACCTGGTTGAACTTTTAATCAGAATCCATTTCTGTGAGAGATTGGTGTCAAGAGTCACATACCTCCAGGAGTGCCGGTCATAAAAACCTCGCCCTTTTTGAGGGTTGTCCCGCTGGACAGGTACTCAATCAGGTAGGCAGTATCGAATAGTAGATCGCTCACAGATTCGTCTTGTCTGATGTCGCCATTGATAATCGTCATTAAATGCAGTGATGCCGGGTCACCAATGACATCAGATCGAACAAGACATGGGCCTACAGGCGCATACGTGTCAAATCCCTTGGAGAATGAAAACTGGGGCACGACGCCAGCATACTCAGGGTTTCGTTGGAGTTTTCTTGTAGACATATCGTTGCCCGCAGTGTATGCGACGATATATTTCAACGCTTCTTCCCTCTTGACATCCTTGGCGTCTTTGCCGATCACAAAACAGAATTCTCCTTCATAGTCTATATCCTTGTCCTGTGCGATCTTTGGGACCTTTACATTCGCCCCGTGGTCATGTATACACGTGCTGGGCTTGAGAAAGATCATGGGAAAAGGAGGTGGTTTACGACCTGCCTCACGAACTGTCTCTCGTTAAGTCGGGTGTCTTCATCGCTATGTTCACTTTGTACTCACTGTGTTTGGAATAGTTGAGCCCTATACACCGAATGATAGGAACATCACCTTCTGTCAGGGGCCCGAGCAGCGTTTTGACAGTAACAATCTCATCGGACACGACAGTTTTGCCAGTGGTATCGTAGATGTCCTCTCCCTTGATGACACGTGCTTTTAGGTTGGTGCTCTCTGTAGTCGTGCCCAAGTCAAAGTCTGGGCTTGGCAGGATTGGGTCACCGCGCAGTGTTCTACCATCTGTCGCGATGAAGCGAATGAGCCGAGTCCAGGGGACCGTCATTATAATTCTTCGTTCAAATTTGGAATGATTGTACGATTAACGATCGTATACGTATTACCTTCAATTGTCGAAACCCGTAGACAACTTTATAGTGCATTAAATTACCCTCACACCGATTGAGTGTGACGGAGTTAGGATCGACTTCCGGGGAACGTACGGGTACTTGACGGATCGTTATAGTATGTTGCGCCGGGGAAGGAAAAGTTCCCCTACAGCGCTGGGAAGCTACTCTACTCTAGGCTAGGTCAAGTGCACAGACCGCATATAAACAATGGGGTCACGTAGTCGTGACAGTTATCGGCACGCGGCATCTCGACAAATCCGTCCTCCCAAACCCCCTGCTGATCTTCCCGAATTGACGGGGATTCGCCGAGCTAATCGAGTGCCGTAAACTCTCAGACGATACGGGGTATAAGCCCCTGATTCTTCCAGAGGACAATGCCTACTGTAATAATGTCGACCTTGAAAGTTACATTCACGAGAGGATTGTCTGACATGAGGTTCATTGAGCTGTGCTGAAGTTGGATATAAAATGCGCCGTTCGAAAACAGCTTTCAACTTGTGATGGAGCGAGTTTTATGATAGCCTGACCCTATTGCACATAATGAAAGCCAGTGGGCTTGCGACGTTGTGCTAAGAGGTGGTTGCATGGAGTCCCTGCTGCCATGAAACTAGAGCCGGCATCGACAACCAACCTGTCCAATATCCTTGTTTCCAAACTTAATTTCCCCACAAATACGTCGGTAGCTAGGCTCACCTGCTAGTGCGGAACTCCATCGGGAGCCTCGATTAGTCCGCTGATGAAGTTTGAAACTCCGACTGCCCGAGTCCGAGTCAAATGCAGGGTGACGATGCGCTTATATACCAGAAGACGGTGAACCCTACCTAGAGATGGAAGACTCATCGATGAAACTGTGATTGTATGAGCTCCCTAGGTACACCGAATACTTCAACCGCCGACTTCAAGAGACCGGCCGTGGAAATACACCGACTAAAAAGAAACCGAAATTGATCGCCTCCAACGATGCCAAAGACTTCATTCGACCATGACGGCTTGCTCAGCCTGCTACAGGTTGATCGACTGGGAGACACAAAGATATCGCCCTACACGGTCGTTGTTGCGATTTGTGTTAGTTTCCTCTGGTATCGACTGCTGCGAAACAAGTTCAAGAATGGGCTTGCTGATCTTCCCGGCCCCCCTCTCGCGTCATGGACGAGGTTCTGGATGCTGTGGGATGTCAACAAGGGCGGCCATATGTACACTAGTAAGCGTGGTCCCATCGAGAAGGCAGCTTGCTGTTTCTTACTCTACCATCAGTGCGGGAACTGCACAGAGTTCACGGGCCAATCGTTCGAATCGCCCCAAACAATGTCTCAATCGCCGACTCAGCTGCCATCAAGTCAATCTATTCTCCGAGCGCCAAATTTACCAAGTCTGAGTTTTATGACGTGATGAACTTCAGGATGGACGGAAAATTGAACGAGGGCAACATATTTGCAGTGCGGGACGAGGCAAAACACACCGAGGCTAAGCGCCAATTCGCCTCACTTTACAGTCCGCGCAAACTCCTCACCTACGAGAAGAGGGTCGATGAAACCTCTCACTTGTTCTTCACCCTCTTGAATGAGAGATTCGCGAAGGACGGTGTCAAATTCAACCTAGGTGAATGGCTTCAGTGAGTCCTGTGACATCGGCCTCAATATTTTGGATTCTAACGTGTTAACACATTAAAGATTCTATGCCTTTGACGTGGTGGCACAGATCACTTTCTCCGACCACCTTGGGTTCCTCAGGGAAGGTAAAGATATAGATGGAGTCATCCACTTCCTCTATACCTTCAACAGATACTCTTCAACAGTGGCCCAGTATCCGATCCTGCACTCACTACTCCTGGCGAATCCAATTGTCGAATGGTTAAGCGATCCAACGAGAAACAACCCAGTCATAAACTTTGTCCAGAGCATTCTGAAGGAGCGCAATGATAGCACAGAGACCAACCACGTTGATATGATCCAGGACCTAAACGAAATGCGTAAAAACAACCCAGAAAAGGTTCCCGCTCATAGGGTGGTGGACATGTGCGCGGGTAATATATTGGCCGGAAGCGACACAACAGGAATAGCACTTCGCGCTCTACTCCATCTACTACTGACAAATCCGCGGTGCTACAAGAAGCTAAGGGACGAAATTGATGAAAAGGATAAAGAAGGTGCTCTGTCATCTCCGATTCAAATGAACGAAGCATCGGATTTGCCATTCCTGCAGGCATGCCTAAAGGAATCTATGCGAATGCACCCATCAGTCGGTATGAGTCTGGAACGCCTGGTGCCAAAAGGTGGAGCGACAATCTGCGATCGCTACTTCCCTGAAGGTACCGTAGTTGGTGTGAACCCTTTCGTTGTGGGCCGAGACACAACCGTGTACGGGGACGACGTTGACGTTTTCCGTCCCGAACGATGGATAGGAGTCACGCACGAGCAGAACATCCTAATGGAGAGGAACCTCCTAGCTTTCGGAGCTGGCAAGCGACTCTGTCTAGGGAAACACGTATCATTGTTGGTATGGGTTTGAATGAGACATCCACATAGCATCTTCTGATTCTTGTACAGGAAATGACGAAATTAGTCCCTGAGCTCATCCGACGTTTCGATATTCAGCTCGAAGGAAGCGAGAACCTTGAGATACTCGACTATTGGTGAGTAATGATGTCTTTCTCTGATTATTTGAAGTTTTCAAACTGTTAGTATTGACCAAATATTGAAGGTTCTCTTTCCAGCGTGGCCTCACGTGTAGCATTACCGCTCGAGCAAAATCGGGATGAGCCATTTTGTGCAAACAAGTGCACAAGCAGGCATCCGATGGCGAATGTGCTTTTGAAACGTCTTAGGAAAGCTTTTTATGTCACAAGTGCAAAAGACCATGCACGAATTACCTGGCAAGGCTACTGACTAGCTTTGAAGGAACTTACCTTCCCATTTCTCCTTTCTGTACATTTGACTTTGTATAAACGGGGTTGATTAACTAAATGCCATTAATGTATTTCCACCACAGGATATTGTCACGTTAAAGATGACCAGTTTTTACATGGTGTACTGTCTAAAGGGGTTAACTGAAGGTTGTTCTTCGAGCCCGATTGCCTTGAGAATGATGATTTCTTGTTTCCCATGGAGCACAAAGCCCATATGTCCCTGAACCACAACCTCGGTGAGCCTCAATTCACGACGGTTATAGAACAACCATATCATTCCACTGGGATAACTGATTCCTAGGATGCGGGTCATCGTTTGCTTACAATGTATCATATAACCTGCATCATATCTTGTGTCTGCGAGTAATCTGTTTACACACCGCTCGTGCACCATATACACAGACGCAGGAGTGTGTCAACGTGGATTCATTTGAGGATCGGTTGAAGGAATGATTGCGCAAAACGTGAGCCAGCAGTGCATACAGTTCAAGGTCGTCATCAAGTATCTGGGGTGAATTCTTCTCACCAATATGGAAATGATTGCAACTAATAAAGGGTCTGTTTCGAACGAAAATTGTAACACGCGACACGCTCCCCCAGAGAAACCGCACTATCGCCCTCAAGCCTCAATAAAAGAACCGTGAGGCCCGAGGCCATATACCTGTGGCATGTCTGCCCTGGCTATCTCTTTGAAAGTCTTCCCATCCAGAGCGACCAAGATACTGTGCGTGCCCTTCCTATTGCAGACGATTGTCAGCACGATACCATCATCTTCGTCTCGAGCACCAGGGCGTGCGATAAACACAGGTTCACAGGGGCAGCTCTCCCCATTTTCAGGTTGCCATCTGATGAAAGTCCCAGTCTGCCAGTCGGACTTAGCTAAGCTTCCGAATACAGCCGCTTGCACCACCTTGAGCCCATTCCCCAGTCTTCCCATCGGGACCTCAGTAGCGGGACTCGCACCCGCATTTCCAGCAGTGAAGTACACATAGCGGTATCCTGGTTGCATAGAAGCGCTTTTTGCAATTCGGGGGAGCTCTGAGGGAACACCGTTTATAGCTGCTGCGGTTGTGGCGAGGCCTGGTTTGGAGGGATCTCCCTTTAGAACATCCGCGAGTTCGTAACGTACAAGGGTACCTTGCTGGAATGGTGCGGCCGGATCTGCAATGTTTGACAGATTGTACTCTCGGTACGTCACGTATGTTCCTTTGTAACAACAGAGGTCCACGTGTATGTTCGTCTCGTTCGTCACTGGGTCTACGTAGTCATAGCCGTTGACGGAGTGGAAAAACATAAAACCGTTTCCATTAAACGTCGAGATGCTTTGGCAACATGTCAGTACATACTTGAACGAATTAGTTCATCTACTCACTGGGCTCCCGTCATCTTGTCGAGCACGAAGAATTGAGTAGGCGACTCGGGCTCGTATTCGATCATATTCATAACTTGCTTGGTCATATCGCTTACATCCATGTGAAGCGGCTAGCACACAGTTAACAATGCAGATTTTGAATGCGTGATAACCATACTCACATTGCGAATGAAAACAACGAATTTATCGCTCATGGCTAGGGAATGAATATAGCAAGGGGCACAGGGCAAGGCGGTCTTCCATAGAACCTTCGCAGGCTTTGCTTTGATATCAAGCGCAAAGACAGACATGACACCATCTTCAGAAATGATGGTATTGAAAGTTTGGCCCCTTTGTCTGTCTTTGGGCGGGTGAGCGCAGATACCATAGCCTTTCAGTTGAGGGTCGATTTCGGCATACGTAAGAAGTCGCTTTGGGGCGAGAGTCTTGGCGTCACAGACTTGAAGCATGTTAAAATCAGTATGAATGAGGATCTTCGACCCGTCAGCGATGCAATACACGAGAACCTAGTGCGCATCTCACCTCCTCGGTCTCGGGTGCTTCAGAGGCGACACCTCTAGAGTAAGGGTTTTTGTCAGGAGGCAAGTGCATTGACCGACGAGGGACAACATTCATGTTCACTTCGTCGGGGGCGACAAATTCGGTTGGAAAGAACATCGATTGCTTTCCGGTCTCAGTTGATGTGCCACAATCAATCGAGAGACTACAGAGGATATTGAGCTCACCTGAGCACCAAACAGCGCGGAGCATGGATCCTGAGCATCCTTCAATGGCGTGTTCGCATTGGGACCAAACATCGTGGTCTGAACGAAGCCGTTCTTCTTGGCCTTCCGCGCAACACCTTCGGCTGTATGCCTGCTGCTGTAATGAACCTGGCCATTGGACATGCGAAATTTGTGCAAGATCCCAAGCCCATCAAAGAAGTGCTGCAAAATAGCATTGGGCTTGGATCCGTCTTCAGATAGGGGGATTGTGAACCGGCCTGCACCGATTCTAGAATGTGGGTTAGAATACACATGATCTTGCTAGCTAATTAGGACGTAAGCCAAATCTACCTTACAAACGTTCCCTCAAGCCATGTCGGCCAAATTCCCTTGGTGGGACAACGGACCTCCTCAGTAGTCTCCGCGGTGTCGCGAAGATACGGCGGGACATACTTGAGGTTGGCTTCGGAAACGAAGTAGTTGTTGTAGGTTACTCCCTCCAGCTTGTTGACGTCAATGCTGCTTGAAATACCCGTTGCCGCCATGTTGTAGAGTATGTAATTTAGTCGGTCGAAGTAGTCTATAATTCTTTCGTCTGCAGCTCCAATGACGGCCGCCTTTTTAAATGGTCAGCGCAGCCATCAATTCGTGCACTGGCCAACTATGGACTGCTGTATTTCCCAACTATGTGGTTCCAAATACCGGCTTGCACTGCTGCGAACATCGTGGGATCCGTAGTCGAACCCATGTACACCACCCTTGCGGACTAACATATCGCAGGGGTCCACGGGTATGACTGGTGGTATCGTATCCCTTGCGCGCGGTAATGTCGGAAGTTCGGTTAGCGCCTATCTCCCCGCAAGACACGAGCGCTGTTTGCGGTTCAGTTTGGCCTCTGACTCAGCGGCCTCGGGACTTGAACGGCGTATTCCCGCAGAATCTTTACGGTCTCGAGCTCCCCGGCGTTACGACCATGGCACCAAGAATGGGTCGATGGAGGGTAACGTAGCAAGCACCCTCCGTACTGCTACTCATGGCCCATGCCCGAGTCGTCAGCGCTGGAGAATGACACGCATGACTGATGCAAATTGGCAGCTTCAATGTCCTAGCTCCGGGTTCTCTCATTGTTACCCACAGAAATGGGTAGTTTTACACCACCATCAATCGTGACAGTTTGACCACTGCATTTCGTCAGTGAGCCGCGCCTCGTGCTGGGCCACTCGTGCTCGGTTTTGCGGCTCATCCAGGATGAGCACAAACCTCATTTCAACGGCAGTCAAGCGTAGTTCATTGCTGTAACTGGACGTCTCCAGAGTGAATAACATTCTTTGGTATCAATACTGAGGATACCATGTTTGCCAGACAAAACCTCCATGCCGACTCTACGTACTAGAAATGCGAATTCCACGCATAGAGTCGCCCCGCTGTTCTGGTTGGTATCACGATATGTTGGGAGGGATTGCTATCCCCATCACCGGCCGTTAGTCAGGAGAGCAAGCCTTCTCTAAGGTAAATTAGATTATGTGTTGCAGATGCACTCCATTGTTATAGCCCACTCGCCCATACCCAACTGGCATTGCATGGGAGGGGGACGGAATAAAAGAGGCAAAGACCGGAGTTTATCAATTGTGACAGCTTGAGCTTCCGCTATTATTCAGATACAAGTGTGTCTGTATCCATATCGGAGGTTCTGTAAAATCCTAGGGATCTGAGCATTGGCTTGTCATCAAACCTGTACAGGTATGTCGGGCCCGGCCCAGCGCCGGCAAAATGCTGATACGCATGCCACGAAGGGATGCAGAATGTATCTCCTTGCTGCCAAGAGTACGTTTCCCCATTGATCACGCTTTGGCCAGATCCTTGCACTACATGATACACCGATGAGGCGGTCTCTTGCACCTTCTTCGTTGACTTTCCCTCGGTAATCCGGGTGGCCGATGCCCCTATAGTTTTGCTTACTTTGGAACAAGTTAGTAATTCCCCCGCTTATCGATCGCAGCAAATTGCCGAGTGCTTACCCTCTCTTCCATCTCCATGAAGGTACAGTAGGGTCACGGAATCTTCGGGCTCTTTGTCGAGAGCAGCCTGCATCTTGGCCCATGGGAACACGAGAGGAGACGTAGATGCATCAACATCCGTCGCTGGGTATCGCGGAGATGCGAAATGCTCCACGAAGTGCACTGGGAAATATGTAAAGTTTGGAAGGTCAAGACCGTCAAGCCAGATCATCGGACCAGAGCCATCTTTGCCATGGTCATGCCAATTCCATGACGGGGTGAGAATCACATCACCCCGCTTCATCTTGATGCGTTTGCCATGGACTGCAGTAAAGCCCCCTTCGCCCTCGATGATGAAGCGCAATGCGAAAGCGGTATGGCGGTGGGCCTTGGCAGTCTCGTTGGGCATGACAAGCTGTAGGCCGGTGTACAGCGTGTCTGTGGTATAAGGCGCCTCTGATGGGTTTTCCGTTAGCAGATGCCTTGAAAAGGTGAAATCCTTGGTAACGTACCGCGAGCAGGATTGACGAACATGAGCACACGGCGTTCGGCCTGTTCCTCGGGCACGAGCTCGCCCGCTTGCAGGAGGTTAGGACGGATATCCGCATATCTCCACACGTGAGGGACACATGTCGGATTGGGCAGTGGTGGGTTGTAACGAGCCATCTGAAGCCATAACGGCGCCGTGTTGGTCCTCTCTACGTTCTGCAGAAGAAGGGCCGTCGCCTTCTTCGTTTCGACCTCGGTTTGGGTCTTCGAAGCCATGACTATGCGTTTTCGCGGGTGAAGGCAAATGTTTGATTGCCCAAATAACACACGGGATACTTTCGTTGCTGCTGCTTATGTGTAAATCAGCCACGTGATGGGTTCATGTACGCGCTTTCGCGGTTAACGCTTTGAGCAAGCAAGGATTCGCGCGGTAGCTGGGGAATCGTTGGAGTAATATGGCGGCAGTTGCGCAAACCACAAGATCATCGCCACGGCATCGACCCTATTGGCGCGGGGATAGGAAAGCAAGCCAGACTCCATATGGTGCTTCCCCGAACTCGAGTAGCCCCCAGTGGGCCGGAAACAAGTGTGCTCCCCGGGAGTGGGTAAATGGCACTTCCTCCGTCGCCAATTGCTCTGCCTCTATCGTTCGACAATCGAGAGGTACACTGCAAGCGCAGCGCAATGGCGACTCCGGCGTCTCAGTCTGACCAAACGCGGGACTTGAGCGGAGCCGTGGGGCCGGGTGCAGGACGGCCAAGCCCAGACGGTCCGGAGCTGTCCAACGACTCGCCCGAAGGGCGCAGGACGTCCAAAAGACGAAGGATCGCGATAGCTTGCAGCGCCTGTAGGAGCAAGAAATCTCGGGTGGGTAACCCCAATTGGACTCGTGAGGCCGGCCTCAAGCTGAGTACTGCGTGTAGTGCGATGGCCAGAGGCCAAAATGTTCGTCATGCCAGTCGCAGAACATCGACTGCGCCTATGCACAGACGCCGTTGCCCGGCACCATACCCATGCCAAAGATGTCGGTCCTGTAAAACCCGACGCTTCAAGTGAATGGCGAGCTCATATTCATCAGATTTCTCCAGCTTATGGAGACCAGGGTGGCCAGTTTGGAGAACGACGTTCAGCAGCTAAAACAGCAACAATCTGGCAGCTTCTCGAGTCAAGTCTCGCAAGCTGATGCTGCATCCGGCAGGAGAATGAGCGACCCGAGACCTGATGACGAGATGTTTGAGTCGAGCGTATCTCCGGATGGCACCGACGGAGTGGGCTCTATTGAATTTACTGATGAGATGGATTCCGGCTATTTTGGTAAGTCGGGAACCAAGGCCTCAACGCATGGTACGACCTAACTTGTGGGAGGGCCATCTTCAAACATTGCCTTCACGCGCAACATCAAGGAGGCACTGGGCTTTTTGTTGGGCTCTCGTCAAGACATCCGCAACCAGAGCGCTGGTGTGGCAAAGGCGCGGCAGACAATGCTGCACGTCTCGAGGCCACCGTCGCCAAGCCCACGCAGCTCAGAAGCTTGGATCAATGACAAGGGTGGTCAAGATTGCCTTCGAATGCCACCTTCATACCAGATGGAAGCACTTATGGACCAGTTTTTTGCCGACCCTGGGGCCTTATTTCCGTATGTTCACCAAGAAACTTTCATGGGAACGTATTGGGAAGTCAAGCGGTCAGGATTCAAGAGATTTAGGCGATCATGGCTTGGGTTACTCAACGCTATCCTTGCGGTAGCAACAGCGGCTAGCACAAGTGTCACACTCACTTCGATGAACAGGGCTGCTCGTGCAGAAGTTTTCTTCGCTCGTGCCCACTCATTGTGTATGAACCAGATGATCGGCGGCGCAAATGTCGAGACTGGTACGAACTGACTCCCACCTCCTATTGCAGTTGAGATTGACTGATGTCAATGCAGTCCAAGTCATGCTTTTGATGAGCCAGTATCTACAGGGAACACATCGCTCGATGAAGACATGGAACATACACGGGCTCGCTATCAAAGCTTGCTTTCAGCTTGGCCTCCACTCAGAAAATGCGCTTAAGAGCCGAACCCCCCTTGAACGCGAGATTCGTGCACGCACTTGGTTCGGATGCGTGTTACTAGACAGGTATGAGTTTAGGCGGTAGCACAATGCTTCGGCTGATCTTGGACAGGACCCTGAGCATGACCTTTGGTCGTCCTCCTTCGATTCCTGAGACCTACGTACGGGTATCTCTTCCACAATTGTATGAACAGCACATGTCCCCTGAGACTTCTGATAGAATGGCTGAGGCGCAGTCGACTCAGTTCTTTGTCTCCGCCATGTAAGTCAACTTGAAAGATGTGATGCAGGCATCGGTCTGACAGGAATTCAAAATAGCACCCTATATAGAATATTATGGACGATACTTGATACGATGTACAGCAGCAACCTCGGGACCTCGTCGAACAACAGCATCACAACGTTGGCTTCCAGCGTGCTTCAAATTGAACACCAATTCTTAGAGTGGCAGTCCAATTTGCCACCGTTCCAAGGCCTCATTACGCCAGAAGACCTTCCTTCGAGTGACGAATACTCTCTCGCGCGACGGCTGCGCGTTGTCCTGACGTTGAGGTATCATAATCTCCGAATATTGGCACATCGCCCCATCCTTGACAAATGTCTCGAAGCTGCTATAGGTGGCGAGGCCAACGCAGCGGAAATATCCATGCTTAACAAGGTCGGATGGCGAAGCAAGAGCATTTGTGTTCAGTCTTCTTCGGCTTTGATCAGTATTATCCACGACATCACCATGGCACCAGAGCCTAAATGGAGGCTGCTGGGTGCATGGTGGTTCTCTTTGTATTACGGTAAGCGCCCCTGTTGGTGTGCTCCCATAGTAGAATGACACTTAACCAAGCTACAGCGTTCAATGCGGCCCTCACGATCATCGCCGTCTTACTCACTGAGGAATCTGTGACGTCGACTTCCACCTTTGATGCGATGGGAATCTCGGAAGGGTTGTTACACGCGACGTTAGACCAAGCAATCAGCAGTCTACCTCTCATTGATGTCGGTAATAAGATGGTTGAGAAATGTGCAAAATTCGTTACGACTCTACGCTATTACCTCAACATGCTCAGTATGTCAAGCCTCATATATAGCCATCGTCTGCTGACTCTTGATTGTCGGTAGAATCCTCGGATAGTGCGAGCAACACCACCACAGAGTCGCCTGTAAACCACGTAGCGAATGCTAGTAACGGTTCCGGGGTGGAATCTTTCAATATCCTAGCGGATATGAGCCACGTCGAAGCTGGGTTCGAGTCAGACTTCTTCTCGACACTAAACCCCGACTTCACTACCATGTTATATAACGCGGATGTCTTTTTCTAGGCTGATAGGAGTGGGAGCTGATCCTCTCGTACTCATCAGCGGCACTTTTGGGCTTTGAACAATTTTGGATTTTGGGTATGTGGTAACAATGAGTCGTCTTCGTGACTGCGTCTTCCATTGCGACGTCTGTCGGCACAGGGCACTAAGCAATAGACTTCCAGTTCTCCACCATCAAATGATGCACCGCTGAGTCCCATCGCGCCTCCATTGCGGCTTCTGCATCGTATCCATAAGCCCACCACTGCGTCACAGGGTCGCTCCACTGATTCGGGGTGCTCAGGTAGTGTTTTCCCTCGACCTCGGCCCTCATAGCCGCATCTCGTGCCTCCTGCTCCTTCCCGTCCTTGAAATGGAACAGCATCGCATTTATTAGGCTAGCTTCTTGCATGGGCGCAGTGCGCTTGATCCTCTCAGATTGAAAGACACGGAGGGCGAACTTGAGCTCTTGAGCGGATTGTATGCGATTGAGGCAGACTGCCAGTCCCACAGCATCTTCAACCGCCATCGCGGCTCCCTGCGACATGTACGGAACCATGGCATGCGCAGCGTCGCCGACGACGATGAGCTTGGACGCGGGGCCAATCCAATTATCAAGGGCACCGAGGTCCATCAGTGGCCACTTCACTGTTTCTTCAATCAACCCAATGATTGTGGTCAGGCTATCGGTTTCAGTTAGCAAGGCAGAAGCAGAACGACCTGGGGCTTGGGCTGGACTGACTGTGGGTCCCAACCTTCAAAGGCCTTCCTCATGCCGCTCAAGACATCCAACTTGCCCCATGTGGAAGGATCGCTCGTGTCCAGATGTGACAAGACCATGTTGAATGACTGGCCCGCAGCGATAGTGTATGTCATGACATGCCGATTTTCGCCAACCCTGCACGTTGTCAGCGAGCGTCGAGCAGCACGTACTACGGAAGACTCTGCACCAGATATTCAGCCCAGGCTTCTCCAGAATCCAGGCGATTTCTGGAATTGCTTTTATCTTCTCTACATCAACGACCGAGCGGTAGACTGCAAAGTTTGTGTACTTGGGAACGGAATGAACGCCAGGGGACACGAGTCCTCGAGCCAGGGATTTTATTCCTTCAACACTGTCAGCTATTAAAGTTGGAACTAGCCGTCCGTCAACCTTCCTTACCATCTGCGGCAACGATTAGGTCACCTTGGATAAGACTGCCATCTGCTAACGTAACGGTTGCTTTGTCTTCATTGTACGTTGCGACTCGGCTATTGAGTCGTGTCTTGATCCCAAGCTCGGTAGCTCGTTCGAAAAAAGCCGAGTGCAAATGCGCACGGTGAACAACATAATACGGTGCCTCAAATTGGGCGGTGAACTCTGGCGAAAACTCCGTGATGCCAATGAGCTTGCCGCATTGCCATCGTCGGAAGCTGATTCGTTCAGGTTGCACTGTTTGGTTTTCTAGGTGCTTCATGATGCCCATTCGTTTGAGCAGCTTCCCCGAGTTGGGAGGAATCTGGATACCAGCACCAATCTGCGAGGTATCAGCGCCTATCTCACTGAGCACCCGGAGTGCGGTGACATACCTCTAATAGTTGAGGGGCCTGCTCAAAGACTGTTACATCATGCCCCTTAAGCCGGAGTGCAATGGCGGTAGCAAGGCCACCAAGACCGGCGCCGACAATCACGACCTTCAATTTACATTTTGCTTGCACAGAATCTAGCAATCTAGTGGGCTCAGCAATTTTCTGTTCGGGGCGCAAGAAATGCAGGCAGTTGGAAGGGTATGAGGTTGTGGTGAACTGTAGGCTGCTGTAGGTGTGTTGATTGGGCTCCCCATTAGTTAAGACGGAAACAGAGATTGGCGCCGATGTAAGTGCTGGTAATATTGCTGCAGGCATTGGGGCGATGGTATGCGAATAATGGCGTTGGCCGATAGGAACTTGATATGGCTAAGAGATAGCTGGTAACGTTGTAACCCGAGCAAAGACGTGTCTCGCAAAGACCAGAGTACCCCTTCGATAAATAGGTCATATACGTAATACGGTTTTGGAAATCATGAAGCACTACGGTACTGGCATTATAAGCCGCGGAGTCTTCAGCTTAACTCCCCGACCGGTTTGCTATTGTCCGGGTGCCATTAATACGACCTTAACTCCGACAAGCTTCTTTCGCGGTCACTAACCCTCCACCCCCGGGCTGGGGAGCTTGATTGTATTAAGGCTATTGGATATTAACATCAGTCATTATAATACCGGTAAATGCTTTAATATTAATACTTTTATATTTTATCGTTAATAAAATATACGGTAATATTTAACCGAACTTTAACATTTTTTTAAATTTAAATATTTTATTATATTTATATATAAAAATAATAAATAAACGGTTTTAAATTTATTATTTACGGTATTTTTCTTATGTTTTTTTATTTTTATTTTTTAAAATAATAAAATAATAACGTAATATATAAACGAATAAATTATAAAAACGAATAAATTACTTTATTATATTAATTAATATAATATATAATTTATTAATCTTTTATATAATTAATTAATATATTTATTTTAAACGAAAATTAATTAAATATATTTTTTTAAATTAAAACGTTAAATTTAAAACTATTTTTATTATAAATTTATAACGATTAATTATAACGAATATACTTTTTAAAATAAACCGTAAAAAGATATAAATATATAAGTTTATATTAATAAAGAACGTTAATTTTAAAGGCGGTTATAATTTATAATTTACGTAATTAAATAAAATATAATAAAAAGGTTTATAAACGAAGTTATAAATATAATCGGTAAAGTTTAATAAACTTTATTTATAAATAAAATAAATATTTAAATTAATTATTAAAATAATAATTATTTATATAATTAAAAAATCCTTTTTATTATATATTTATTTATTTCTTTATTAATATTAATTAAATTATTATAATTATAATAATCTTTTATTTTAAATTATTAAAATTATTTTAATTTTAATAATCCTTTTTATTTTAATTTACTTATTAAAACCGTGATTTATATTATATAACCTTTTTTATTTTGTTAATCTTGTAATCTTTTTTATTTTAACGGTTACGCGTTAATTATTTAATAAATTTTAATTATTCCTTTCCGGGGTCGGGGTTTATAAAGTTATATTCGTAATATTAAATCCCTCCTTTTTTATTTTAATCTTTTAAAATTAAAAATCGTATAAATAAATTATTACCGTTTACTTTTTTAATTTTAATAGATTTTCCTTTTTTTTATATTTTCGTAATATATATTTATTATATTAAATCGTATTAAAAAATCGCGTTTAATAAAAAAAACTCGTAAATAATAATTCTTTTTTAAATCTTTTACCACTTTTAATATAATTACCGATATATTATATTTTTATTATTTTAAACGAAAATTATTTTATTATATAATTAAAAAGACGTCGCGGTATTAAAAGTGTATATAACGGGGTCGTTCGTATAATAATTTTTTAATTACGTCTTTTTTAAAAAGGTTAATCGTTTAAAAAAAAAGTTAAATACGGAGGAGGATACGGCGAATAAAGATTTTATCGATTTTTATAAAAAGATATTAAAGGTTTAATTTCGGTTATTAACGGTTATTAATCGCTTTTTTCGAATTTAAAAGATTCGTAATAATATAAAAAGTCGTATTTTTAATAAAATATAATAAAGGATAATAAAGTTAAATAAAAAAGATAATATCCTTTTTATATTAAATAATTATAAACGTTATATAATTAAAAATATTTAATTTATAAATGTTTTTAACGACGTTAATTAATTAAAATTTAATTTAAAAGAGTTTTTAAATATCGGTCTTTTTATATTATTTAATAATAAAAATTTTCGAAAAATTTAAAATAACTTTTTAAGTTTTTTTTAAATTTTTAAATATTTTCCGAAAATAAATAATCTTTTTATTTAATAAAATACTTTTATTAACCGTTAATTTTTTATAAATTTAAATTTTTTCGATTTTGTATTTTTAATTTAATTCGGTTTCGAACCGTATTTCGATTTTTATATTAAATAATATTAATTTTAATAATAAAATATAAAATATTAAATATATCCTTATTTTTTAAAATAATAATAATTAATAATTAATAAATAAAATAATTTTATCGATTTTAAATAATTTAATTTTTTTAAAATCGAATTTATTATTTAATCGTTTTATTTTAATATTTTTATAAAATAAATAAATAAAATCTCCGTTTTTAAAAATTAATTTTTTAACTTTTTTTTTATTATTTTATTCTTTTATCCGTTATTAAAAAAAAAGTAATTTTTATTATAAATTTTTTTATAAATTTTATAATTTATCGGGGTATATAATAACTTTTTTTATTAATACTTTTTAAAATAGTTTTTTTATTATATTTAAATTAAATTCGTAATTCGCGTAAAACGGTGTTATTTTAATCGATTTTATTTCGGAATTATTATAAATAAATTAAATAATTAATAATAATTCGATTTAATTATTTTATTTATAATTAATATAATAACGTAAATATTATTTTAATATTTAATTTATTTATTCGGTTTATCCGTCCGTTTATAAATAATATATTATTAAAAGTTTATAATTAATTTTAAACTATATTATAAATAATTTTTAAAATTTCGACGTAAAGAGTTTATTTTTATCGGAAATAATTTTATTAAATAATCCGTATTAATTAACGATAATTTATAAAAACGTATAAATTAAATCGTTTATATTATTACTTCTTTTATATAATAAAAAATAAACGCATTTTATAAATCGTTCCGTAATTATAAAAATGTTATTATATATAATTTTAATTAAAAGGTTTTTAAATAATAATAATTTAACGATTTAATTTTATACGATGGATTTTTATATTTTATTAAATAATAATATTAATTATGTTTTTTATATAATTTATATTATAAAGTTTTTATTTTATTATATAAATCGTATATTTTAATATAATTAACGACGTATTTTTTAAAGTTTTTATAATCGAATTTAATTCGGATTCGGTTTTATATTTTATAAATTTTTAAATATTTATAAAAGGGTATTTTATAATATTATTTAATAAATTTATCGAAATATTATAATAATATTTATATTTAATTATTATAAATTTTTAAATTATTTTTAAATTTTTCCGTTTAATTATTTATTAATATAATTTAATATATAAAAAAAATGTTTTATATTATAAATTTAAAATTCCCGTATTTATTAATTTATAATAAAATATATATTTTTTTAATACTTTTTAAAAATGGTTTAATCGTCGGTTAAAAACGTTAATTATACCGTTTTCGTTTCTTTTTTTATATATAATTTCGTAATTAAATTTTAATAAAAATTTTAATTATTTAATTTATCGTTTATTAAATTTTTTATTTATAAAAAAAGATATAAAATTTTTATAATTAATATAAACTTTAATTTTATAAATAATTTTATTAAAATAATGTTTTTATTTTTAAAATATTTCGATAATTATTATAAATTTTTTATTATAAATTTAATAATTAAATTCGGGTCCGTTAAGTTTTTTTCTAAAAAGAATATTACCGGGTATAATTTATTATTATTATTTCGTTAATTAAATTGTTTTTTAATCGCGTAATTAAACGTATCGGTTTCGATTTTAAATAATTTATTTAAATTTACTATTTTAAATATTAATTCGTTAATAATTCGTTTTTTTAAAATATTAAAAGTTATTTATTCGATTTTTATTATTAAAATAATAAATCTTTTTTTGTTAAATTCGTTAATAACGTATTAATTTATTTAAATTAATAAATAAATATTCGGTAATAATTCGCGAATTTTAAAAAAGATCGTATTTTTAAAACATTTATTAAAATTAATTAAATTTTAATTATTACGATTTTAAAATCTTTTATTCGGATTTCTTTTAAAAATACGACGTATTTTATAAAAATGATTTTTTATTAATAAAATTCGTTTTTTTCGCCGTTAATTAATAAATTTACTTTTTATAATTTACGGAATATTATATAAACGTATTATTTATATTTTTTAAACGTTTCCGAAAAAATAAATATATTATTAAAATAAACGATTACGAATTTATTAAAGTATTTACGTAATACGTAATTAATTATATTTTAAAAATTGATTAATATATTAATTAATTTAAAAAATATAATTAAATATTTATAATATCCGTATTTAATTTTAAAAACGGTTTTTTATTTTTTACTTTTTTTAATATATATAAATCCGTAAACGTTTAATAAATCGAATATAATAAATTATTAAATTTTATATAATTTATTTCGTAAATTATTAATTAATAATAATAAATATCGGTTTTTAATTATATTTTCGTTAAATTTATAAAAATTAATATAAAATCTTTATTTTATTTTCTCGTTTTTATTTTTTTTTAATATAAAAAAAATTAAATATTTTATTTTTAACGTTAATAAACGAATATAACCTTTTTTTAAATTCTTATCGAAATATTTTTTAAATACTTCCTTATATTTTAATTATAATTAATATATTAATATAAAGTGTATTTTTTTTCCTTTTTTAAAAGGTATTTTATAATTAAATTACGTATATTACGGTAATTTTATTTTTAATTTTTTATTAAATAAATCGATATAATTTTAATATTTTTTAAATATTATAATATTAACTTTTATTTTAAATCTTTTAATTATAACGTTAATATTATAAATATAACTTTATAAACCCTGATTTTAAAAAGGAAGAATTAAAACCCATTAAATAATTAACGCGTAACCGTTAAAATAAAAAGACCTTAAGATTAATAAGATAAAAAAGGTTACGTAATATAAATCACGGTTTTAATAAACGAGTTAAAATAAAAGATTTGTTAC